CTGGAGTCGACGGTGTCGTCTCCCTCTCCTTCGCCGTCGGACTCCCACTCGCCTTGGTCGTCCCCACTCTCACCTCCGCTCGCCTCCCCTTTCTCAGTTGGCTCCTGAGCCCCGTTGGGCGTCGAGTACATCTCGGTGGTCGCCTGGAAAGCAATAGACAAGACGAAAGTCAGTCGACCAACTCAAAGAAGACCAATGCAGAAAACAAGATTTCAGTCGGGAGAATAAAGACATACCTGGTCCACTTCATACGAGTTGTCGAGTGGAGTTACCCTTCTGGCTCCTCGGGGGTTGTCTTTGTTCCCCGTGATGCTCGACAGTCACCCCTCCAGCATCTCGTCGGTGACCTCCTCCGGGTGGACCCGAGTGGTGTCATCGAGGCCAGAGTACAACCACATCGGGTGGTCACGGGCCTGGAGCGGCTGGATGCGCCTCTGGAGGAAGACCTCCAGTAGGTCCATCCCGGTCACACCCTCACGGACAAGCTCGACCACTCGACCGGCCAACACTTTGACTTGGGCCCTTTCCTCCGACGTCACTTTCAGAGAAGTGAGTTTTTCAGCTCGGTCGAGGGAGAAAGAAGGAAGACCAGTCGACTGTCCTGGGGTCGCCTGGTCCTGACAGTAGAACCAGGTCGACTGCCAACCACGGACCGACTCCGGGAAAGTAATGGATGGAAAACAACTCTTCCCCCTCACCAGGATCGCCAAGCCCCCGCACAACTGGATCACCTGCGTCCTCTCGTCACTCGACTTGGCCTTCTTGACCGATTGAGAACGGCAAGTAAAGATGTGTTTGAAAAGTCCCTAATGGGGGCGGCAACCCAAGAAAGCCTCATACATGGAAATGAAAGCGGCAAGGTATACAATGGAGTTAGGAGTGAAGTGGTGGAGCTGCGCTCCGAAGAAGTTCAAGAAGCTCCGGAAAAAAGGATGGGGCGGCAGAGAAAACCCTCGGTCGATGTGGGTGGCTAGGAGCACGCACTCACCGTCGCGGGGTTGAGGTTCGATCTCTCCCCCCGGAAGACGCGCGGCTTGGTGGGGAATGACTCCCCCTTCGACCATGTCGTCGAGATCCTCTTGCCGGAGCACCGACGGCATCCAGTCACCCTGGATCCAACCTTTGGGCAGAGCGGTCCTAGAGGAAGATCCGCCCCGAGCTGACCTCTTCCCTTTCCCCGCCGCCGCCGCCTTCTTCGCGCGCTCCAGGGCGGAGGTCTTGCTCTTCGTCATCGTCGCCGGCGAAGTCTCGCACGGGCCTGCTGCGCTGGGGCGGGAACGGAGGTGGCGGAAGGACTTGCGAAGGGAGAGAGGTGGAAGAAAGGAGGAGAAGAGAGCGCACTGCTTGGAAACCCCAAGCCGGCGATTTATAAGGGACCGCTTCCGAGTGGCCGACTGGTAGGCCCAGGCTATCCAGTCAAATCCCGCAGCAGACGCGCGCGCAGTACGTGGCGAAAAAGGCGGCGCGGGGATCGAGGAGCTTCCGCTTTATCGCTTCCGATTACTGCGGCCGCTCCCGCCCCGCGCGCTTCCCAAAATCCGAATCCTGCGACATCCGCGGGCCACAGAACAACTTGTCAAAACAGAAGACCCCGATCGCGCCGGCGCTCAGTATGTCACAAGCAGAGAAATTCACTCGACGAAAGGCCTAGAATGGATCAAGGCGACTGAAAAAGGTTGGCAACGTCATCCATGACGATTGACCCAAAACAAGGCGCTCACGTAGCCCAAAGAACCAGTCGGAAAGATCTCCAACTCTTTCCCCACTCTAGCCTCGATCCATTCGGGGGCTAATGATGAAGACATGTGCCTAGGGTAGGGGCACGGACCTGTCCAAGGAGCCCTACCCTAGGACATCCCTAGGAGAAGTCACTTTTCAATCGACTTGAAGGTATCCTACTCGACGGACTCAAGACACTCGACCAGGAAGCTATCACTCGACCATGAAGCCAACCACTCGACCGCCAGGAGACCTATAGTCGCTCCGCAGGCAAACGGTCGGCTGTTAAGTAGTCTTTATGGTCATTATAGCTCTTTATTAGGGGCGTTACCAGTAACGCCCGACCTTAAATGTACCTTAAACCCTGCATTACTGAGGGCAGGAGGGGGCCGGCGAACTCTATATAAGCCACCCCCTCCTCAGTATGAAGGGTTCGCACCCCTGTTATTCACACGCCAGTAATCCAGTCGACCGCTTCCGGGCACCGAGACGTAGGGCTGTTACTTCCTCCGCGAAGGGTCTGAACTCGTACATCTTGGTGTGTTTACAACTCCCCAATAGCTGAGATCTAGCCTCTCCATTCATACCCCCCTACATTGCTGTCAGAGTTAGAACCACGACAGTAGGCACCACGAATATTGAATCATCACATGCTAAAAACTCTGGAGTAACATTCTTTTGGCCTCAGGCCCCACAAAAACAAAGAAGTATAGCCACGTTTGCAATAATCAGGTTACCAGGAGGAGGCTCATAGCTCAAGTACTATGTTCTGCTAGTCATCCATGTTAATTTGGCATGTTCTAGCATATACGTAGCATTTACATAGCATTGTTAAAAGAAGAACCCACAAAAATGAAGCCTACAACAAATTGGCATACTCTAAGAAGTTTGCTAGATTATTTTCTATCACTTAATGTTAACCTTAGAAGCGCCAACTGCACATCTATCCATAGATTTCTGGTGCAAATCTTAAGGGTCATATACATGCAGTGAGATTAATATGCCCATCCCCATCATACGGTACATAATATATGCATATTTTAGGTGCCCGTTTTTTCTATTGAAGGAACTCACAATGTCAATTTGCATAGTACTATGAGTGCTGGCACAGAGGATCAAAATGCGGCAAAACTCCACCGTTGAACAAACAAGCTTCTAGCCCATCAATACGATATAACGAGACTGGGGTCATTAATATATTACACTCAAACAACTACTCCATAGGCTTGAACATTTTCCCAAATCAGCCAAATCAAAGTAGGCTAATCTCGTAAGTTGAAAAAGAAATGGAGATGAAGTAACTTACTGGGCCAAATGATCTTGAATCCCAGCTTCTAGCAGCATTATCCCCTTCAACCCAGCAATGCCCCTGTGGGACCTTAATTATCTCAGAAGACGCAGGGAGCTGTATCCACTCACCAGGTAAGCCAATCAGTCTCTTCACAAACACTTCCTTGTGATTACTAGGGCATCTGCAAACAGAAAAAAAAATCGTTGTATGGATTCTCGTGATATTTTCTTTTCCGCTATTTTCCAGCAATATCATGGCACATACTTGAACAAAATGACATCTCCACGGGAGAATTTGTACTGATCGAGGCAGCCCTTCTCCGCTAACACGATGTCACCTGGTTCGAGCCGAGCAACCTGGTCAGCACAAAATCATTGAATATGGATTGCAGGATAATCCAACTCTCATGCCATGCCTGCACTGATATGTAGAAACCAAAGCCACGAATACCTCGCAAGGCGCTGTCGGTGCCCGTCATGGTGGGATGCATCGAGTGGCCCTTTATGGCCACCACGGCGACGTAGCGGTCGGAAATGGTGATGCCGATTACACCCCCGGTCACCGACATCTTGGCGATCGACCAAAGCTGATTGCGGGTTCCCATTATCCAAACTATCCAGTCACTGCATACAGGTAGTATCTGAACTGAACCTCTGAAGTGCAGACACACGGCAGAAATGCAGTGAACCGAGCTCCGAAGCGGAGACACTGCAGAGATGTACGGTGCTAGTCCGTCAGTACGGCGAATAATTCTGCAGCTAATCTAGTGGATGGTGCAGACGAACACTTAGATGTAAGATGGACCAAATCCAAGCAGCCGAGGCTCTTACCGAGAAATCTTCCTCGGTTCCGTGGGGGTGGAGGCTGGCGACCAAGGCTTTGGAGTGGCTCCGTGGAGGTGGGCGAGGAAGAGCGGCGGGAGTGGCGGCGGCGACGACGACGACGCCGGTGTGTGGTGGCGTCGGCGGCGGATGGCTTGAGTCGTCGGGGCGTCGGAGGCCGCAGGGTAATTAACGAAGCGCTTACGGCCCGCCGTCCGATCGCGTAATCAACGGCCCATATCAAATAGCGGGGCCTCTCTTCTGTACTAGTTCTGTTGGTTTAGGCCGCCTCTCCGACCCTCACCCAAACCCTCGCTGCACCTCCCACCGTCGGCGGCGGCGGCGGCGACCACCCCACCGACCGCGCCGCGTTCGAACGTCGCAGGTCGGCGGACCCCTCCCCGCTCCGGTAAGCCCCCCGCTCCCTCTTCCCTCCTCTCCCGAGCCGCTCGCGTGCGTGCTATAACCCCTCCCCGGGCTCCAATCCCGCCCAGTGCGGCTATGAAATCTCTCCTGTCGTCCGCTGCCGCCGCGCCCTAGAGCTCCCGCCGTGCCGCAGCTTAGCGTCGACGCGGGCGTCCCTGCTTCCTCCACCCGGTCCCTGCGTCCTCGGCGATTGATTTAGTGACGCGCGAACTTTTAGCCGCCCAAGTGATTTACTTCACGAATTTGGGGCGTTTAGGTCCGCCCCCTGTCTGCTCCCCGCTCTGTGTTTTTGTTGCAGCAAATTTGTTGGATTTAGTCATTGAACAGCCTCGAGATTTTTGACGACTTGCCAGTAGCTTAATAATCACATGATGTGGTGGTGGGTAGGTGACTTGATAACTACATTGATCCATTTACCAGGCTTGAACTTCTCTTTTTGGTGGTAATGCCATGCAATCGCTTGTTCTCACCTGTTCTGGGGCCGGTGGATAATCAGGCGTGCTACTCAATATGTGCTATGCAGTGCGTTGGTTCTTCCCAGAGTCCAGTTTTAGATTTTGGTCCAGTGCTACACTTTGGTTTCCATCGATTCACTTTATGCTGAATCTGGCTCAACTTGTTCTAATCTTTCACATACTTCAGGTTTAGATTTCCTTTTCGCGCAAGACCTTGTTTCCTTGATTTTCTTATTCTGAAGTTCACTTTTCTGATAAAATGTTTCTCTATGCAGTGGAATCTGAAGGTTCCAGCCAAAGCTTCTCAACTCGGTTGTAATCCTAGGAAGAGAGGTAGCAACAATTGCAGTTGGCTGATGGATGGGTCTAAATCTAATGCCGAAGAAGATGACTATCATGTGATAGGAGACCTAAGATCACCAAAGATTCCAAGGAGAAGTCCTGATGGTTCCAAGGAGAGAGACGACAGGAAAGGTTGGGACTCTTCAAGAAGTGAAACTTCTGCAGACAGGGCTGATACAAGAGATGGTGGTTATTCTTCTGACCATAATAAGCATGGCAGGGAAAAAGAGATGATTCATGGCCATGCAGATGAGTCGGGTGGAATTAGAAAAGGTGTGGACTCTAGTAGTTCAAGGGGCGGGAGGTCCGATGAGGATATCAATGAGAGGAGGGGATCTGCTATGGCTGAGAACATCAATGAACATGGCAGACCAGCGGATCAAAGTCATCAAAAGGAAGAGATTCTTGGGCATACAGTGGAATACGGACATGAAAGCAAGGGTGGTGTGGAAAAAGAGGAGACGTCACCCAGAGTGGGTAACGATGGATGGGAGTCATCAGGGGATAGAAGGAATAGAGACGCTCCACCTTCACAAATACCGGATACACCAGACAGAGGGAGAGACAGCAGTTGGAATGTGAAAACACAAGAGGTTGAAGGATCTGAGCAGTACTCGAGGAGCCGTCAACTGCGAGATCCTAAAGAGGCAAATGTTTCTGAATGGAGGAGCACACAGGAAAGGTTAGATGGTACGAGTTTTCAGGGTCGCGCTGGGTACCGGCAGGATTCCAGGGGTAGATCTGAAAGTTTCAGAGGTTCTTCAACCTATGGAAATCGGTATGACAGGTCTGATTCAATAGAGATCAGGCCAAATAGCAATTTTGATTTCGGGCGAGAGGGCTCTGTTTCTGGAAGAAGATCTGATGTGGGAGCTCCCGGAACAACTGATGATAGTAGCACCAATCATCCTGAAGCAGATCAAAGTGGTGGCACCAGCATGGTTTCTCCATTTACTCAGCAAGGGCCTAAAGGTGATAGATCCTCTAGAGGAAGGGGGAGGCCAACTGGAAGGGATTCTCAGAGAATTGGAGTTCCGGTGCCACTTATGCCGCCACCTTCATTTGGTGCACTCGCCCTGCCACCAGGGCAAATGCAACATATGGGGCCAAATATTCCCCATTCTCCAGGTCCTCCTCTTCTACCTGGTGTTTTCATGCCGCCGTTTCCTGGACCTATGGTGTGGCCTGGAGCAGGAGGTGTTGATGTCAACATGCTTTCTGTTCCACCTAACCTTCACATCCCTCCTCCAGTTGCTGGTGAGCATAGGTTCACTCCAAGTATGGGAGCTGGACCTGTTCATAATGTTCACTTAAATCAAATGGGCCCAGGAATGGGCACTCCAACGAATATGTCAGGATTGGGTTTTAACCAGATGAGCACACAAAATCGTGAAATGACACATGATAAGCCATCTGGTGGTTGGGTGCCACATAGGCATGGTGCACCGATCAGAAAAGCTCCTTCAAGGGGTGAACAGAATGATTACTCTCAGAACTTTGTGGACACTGGCATGCGACCTCAAAACTTCATTAGAGAACTGGATCTTACAAGTGTAGCGGAGGACTATCCAAAATTGAGAGAACTCATACAGAGGAAGGACGAAATTGTTACTAACGCTGCTTCACCACCGATGTATTTTAAGTGTGATCTACGGCAACATGTTCTTTCTCCAGAATTTTTTGGTACAAAGTTTGATGTTATTCTTGTGGATCCACCATGGGAAGAGTATGTTCATCGTGCACCAGGAATAACAGATCATATTGAATATTGGAACGCTGAGGAGATTATGAATTTGAAGATTGAGGTTGTTGTTCTTGTCTGGTTGTTTCATCCTTTTTAAGGGTGTTCATTTTATGCCACAGAATTATTAATATACTTCCGTCAATTGTTTGAATCAACAGGCTATAGCTGATACCCCCTCTTTTCTCTTCCTTTGGGTTGGTGATGGCGTAGGTCTTGAACAGGGCCGTCAATGTTTGAAGAAGGTGAGACAGCTTTCTCTTTCAGTAATATAACACATGCAGTTTTATGTTCTGCTTTGTTGTCAATTTTTCTGGGCATGATGCCAGCTTACAGAAGGCCATCCAGGCTCATGTGTCCTCTCCAAAACATTATAGCCACAATGCATTTTGATCATGTTTCTGTCATTGCCATTCCGTTTAGTTGCAATCAAACTCCAATCTGCATAAATCTCACATTCTTTCGAATGTATTCATCTGTTTCAAAAGATATGTGCACTGTTTTATTTAATTTAGATCTGTCATACAGTTTCCAGCTGAATGATGAAACGTAATAATAGATGAAGCTAGCTGAAACATCTCTTTTGTCCAGTGGGGATTTCGTAGGTGTGAGGATGTTTGCTGGGTGAAAACCAACAAGAAAAATGCATCATCAGGTCTGCGGCATGATTCTCGTACATTGTTGCAGCATTCAAAGGTAGTGCTGTTATTAAGTATTATATGTTTTATAGCATTATTTCTGTTTTTTACTTTGCAATTTCCCCATGTCTCTGGGATTCTTGTGAAGTATCCATCTTTCCTTGTGCAGGAGCATTGTTTGATGGGTATAAAAGGAACGGTACGCCGTAGCACTGATGGTCATGTCATCCACGCAAATATCGACACTGATATAATAATAGCTGAAGAACCCACTGATGGTATCTATCACGTAGCTGCCATTTATAATGCTTATTGTTATTCTTCGTTTATGATATCTGTCTTCTAAACTGTTCTGAGGCCTCTTTTCCTTTCCTGTCTTGTTCATGTATGAAATTAAATTCACTGTTTTGTCTTTGTTGTCATGGTATGAATTTCTATGGTTTGGCCCATGAAAAGTGGAGTATGATTTTTAAAAGAATTTGATTTGTTGATAAAAGCATATTCTATCTGGCTTGTCGAAGGATTGGTTTATTACGACTGGTTTGAAGAAAATTGTATTACCTCTGTTCCTAAATATAAGACGTTTTGGCAGTTCAATTTGAACTACCAAAACGTCTTACAGTAGTGACCAGAGTAGCACATCTTTGTTGCCGCTATTTTCTTGTTGACCTGCCCATATGAAGCTTGAACTCTGAATATAATCCTTGTAACACTAATTGAAACTCAAACAAAACAATATGGCGTTGATTATCCTGAAGCAGCTGTAGCAAGTGTGCCAGTATGCGTGCATTTTCTGCATAATAATCTCATGAGAACCATCAAAGTATGTCCAAGATTGGAGAAACGTTTATTCATGTAAAATATTTTTAAGATTTCTATAATGCACGAGTGTGCACATTTAAAAGGAGATGTTAGAGATTTCATGTGTTGTACTGTTGATTCTTGGCATAAAGGTAATGGGACGTGGAAGATGAGCAGATGTTTTTGGCTCGGCTAAATAATCGTACTATTTATCCTTCCGTGATAGCCTTTTGCAAGTTAGCTATTCCTTGGTCATTTTCATGATTTTGGTATGCTTGAAAGAAAAACACATATTTTGGTGAAGTTACTAAGGAAGGTCTTACTACTTTCTCTTCTATGATCATGGTACAGATATCTAGCTATCCATTAGTTGACAGCTT